TAGGAAAACAATGCAGCTTTTATTCTTATTTAGTGTGGTTTTAATGGGATAAACATTATAGCTGCACATGGAACGCACTAACGCCATCCCATTAAGGAGAGTGTTAAACATATGGTTAACATATGCTTACCACACGTGGGCCACATGAAACTTTCACGCAAAAATGAAGTGTGGCTTTTGTTTCTATTTAGTGTGGTATTAGTCGGATAAAAATTACATTTGGAACGCACCAAAGCCATCCTATAAAGGAGACTGGTGAATATATGGTTAATATGCAATCACCATATATGGCCCACATGAAAATTTCTTAATCAGTTTAATAGCTTTTTTTGCTGGCATTGTACATTGGACTCTTATCATTCCTAGCGCTTGAAATTCTTCGTTATGATGTATATTTAAGTTCATATATATTATCTGTTTTTTACTGAAGTATACTCATCAAATGTAAGACTAAATTTACGTTTATCTCCATGTTTCATTTTCAAAAAACTTATAACTTGTTTCTTGACTAACATGAAGTATGTAACAACAAGATTGCGAACGGTTTGAGGACTTTGAGGGATTTGGTATCCCTGGACGAAATGCTGATTGCGAAGCTTCACCTTTGGCAATGGTGTGATAGCTGATTCCATTAATAGCTGATAGTCGACTCAAAATTTCAGGTAGAGTTTTATGGTCATCTATGAAAAAACTTTCAATTTTTGATATTTGCTGTAGCCTCGGGCGTATAGTTATTGCATTTAAGAAAAGTTTATGTTCGACCTATCATAGAATCTTGTACCTCTGTGTGGAATCCCTATCTTTTAAAAGATATATTTTTAAAAAATGTACGTTAGAAAAGGTTCAGAAGTCCTTTACTAGAAATGTATGTAAAAGATGTCATACTCATTATAAAGATTATTCTTCTAAACTCAATATATTTAATCTAGAATCCCTTGATCTACCTTTTTCTGAGTTTTTTGCATTTGTTTCTTACTATCCTACAAGATGTCATGCACAAAAACTTTATCCACGTATTAAATGTATTAAAACGAAGATTTTTCTCCTAAGAAAGTATTATCAAGATATGGAATTCTCTACCTGATTATATTGTTTACTTGACCACTTTATCTTTGTTCAAATCAAATTTAAAAAAGCACAATGTTCATCACCATTGCACACTATTTTAACTAATTGTTTTTTGTTATTGTTTTTTTGTCGATGTTACATAAGAGTAATTTTGATATTACCTTTTTTGTATTTCTTATTTTTATATGTAAATATATCAGAAAATAAATAAAATAATAATCTCCTAAATAAGCAAATTTGAAAATGTTATCATATTCTATCTCCGATGAACCAATAATATATTTATAATTACATATTTATATGGAATAATCTTGTTGTTTTTGTTATTTTCAAAATGGCAACTAAAAATACTGACCGAAAAAAGGAACATGCTCTAAATCAAAGCGAAGGTATTTTTATACTTAATTGGTATTATAGTTTTGCTAATTTTTTATTTTTATTATCTAGGATGCATAAACAACAAAATAATTTATTATTTATGCATCCTGGAAAATCAAATAAAAAGGTAATGGATTTTTTTAATCTTTAGAGCCACTTGGTATTACACCTTTTCGTAGGTCACCCTATAATGGAGTATCTAGGAAACGTTAAGCTGATACGAGTATTTGGAAAAGTTTATATTGAAAACTTTTATTACAAACGGAAACTTTCAATTTATAACTTAACTTTTTTTTTTTTATTTGCATTCACCCCAACAAGGCTGCAAGCAACCACTGTTAAGTTGGGAGTTGCTATGAAAAAAAGAACAAAGTTATAAAGCAAGGAAACAATTGACAGAAGACTTGAAAATTTGAAGGTTGTATGAGTCAGGAAAACGTGAAGATGGGAGAGAGAGTTCCAAAGGATTGAAGTGCGGGAAAAAAAACTAGATGAATAAAAGTTTTTAGAGCATGCAGGGACAGATACAGTAAACGAATGAGACTTAGCTTAATGACGAGTAAAACGAGAATGAATTTTAGTTGATGGAACTAAAGATGATAACTCCTTTGAGCAGTGACCATGATAGTATTTGTAGAAAAGAGAAAGAGATGCAACTTTACGACGATGGGAAAGAGGTTCAAGCTTAGCAGATAGTCCAGGTCCAACAACATTTACTATGCGTTTTTGGACCTTGTCAAGAAGAGAAAGTGAATCGTTAGAAGAACCAGCCCAAATATGACAACAGTATTCCATACAGGGACGAATAAGAGATTTGTAGAGGTAGAGAATGGAATCAGAAGTAAGGAAATGGCGAGCATGATAAAGAGAAGCAACCTTAGCAGAAGCTAATTTAGCAATCAATTGTATATATGGTTTCCATGAAAGGTCAGTAGTAAGCGATAATCCAAGAAGACGTAAAGAGGACGACTCAGTAAGAGGATTGCCATTCATTAATATAGGAATGTTGACCATATTACGGTAGTTATTTGCTGTAAGCAACTGGGTTTTTTTAGAGTTGAAATTCACAAGCCACTGTGAACCCCAATCTATTACTGAAGTGAGATCGGATTCAAGATCAGCTGCTTGTTCTAGGCGATTGAAAAGAGAAGACGTTTTGTCAAGACAGGAGTATAAAGTTAAGTCATCAGCAAAAAGAGCTACTTTAGATGAAAGGTTGTCAGGAAGATCGTTTATGTAGATAAGAAACAAAACAGGGCCCAGGATGGAACCTTGGGGAACCCCAGAAGTTACTGCAAATAAAGAAGAGTGTTGGCCTTCAAGGATGACTTTAATAAATCGGTTAGAAAGAAATAATTTGATAATCTTAAAAACTTTCCCAGAAACACCATATGAAGCAAGCTTATAGAGAAGACCAGTATGCCAAACTTTGTCGAAAGCTTAGGGTATGTCGAGAGCAATAGTCCTAGCCTCACCGCCTCCATCTAATGCACGATAAAATCTTTCAGTTACAGCAGTTAGCGAGTCGGCCGTAGAGCGAGAGGATCGAAAAACGTATTGATTGTCTGACAGTAGTTTATTTGACTCAAGATGAGATGTGAGGAATTTGTTGATCAAAGACTCAAAGACCTTGCTAATAACTGAAAGAAGACTGATCGGACGATAATTGGAGGGGTCAGAATTTTCTCCAGAGTTTTTGAATATTGGAACCACAGATGCCATTTTCCAACAAGCAGAAAAACAAGACTCAGTCAAACACTTGTTAAATAGTTTAGAGAGAATTGAAGAAAGTTCTGGAGAACAATTCTGCAAGACTGTGACAGGAATGTTGTCTGGACCACAAGCTGTAGACGAGTTTAATTGAGATATGACTTTAGCAACAAGGTTCTGGTCATTATTTGCTTAATAGGAAAGGTTATTGCATCCAATAGCATGAAGCTATGGCTGGTCGTGGAGGAAATGATCTCGCCAGTGCTGTAACATATCTGCTTCTGAAAATCATGAATGACCTTGACATAAATAAGTTCATACCTTTGTTCGATTCATGTTTACCATAAAATTGCAATAGTTTCATGTTGCCAGCTTTGCGTGAATTTATTATACGATACCCACAAATAAAAGTCATTGAGCAAAAATTCTGCGAGCCAGGTCATTCCAGAATGTGGTATTTCCTAGTCAAATTGTAAAATTTCCTAGTCTTTCTAGTCAAATTGTAAAATCTCTCTCTGCTGTAGAAATATTTAGTCCACTTAGACTAGAAAAAGCTATTTCCATGTATTCATACATGCCTGCTGTTGATATTGCGTTTTACAAAGCATTAATAAAGTGAACTTTTTTTATATATGACTTTCTCTGTTATTTACTTAGTATTGATATATAAAACATATAATTATTTTTTTGATAAAATCTCACAGGTATAAGAAAAATAAAATCAAGTTCTTCTTGCATGGTGTTTGTAATTAGATTAGTTTAACTGTTGTGTTAATATCTGTAATACTTAAATAATTGATGAAAAACTTTGAAAAAGCTATTTCTTTAATAAATATTTTTCATCTTTTTCCTATACCCTATATATATATATATATATATATATATATATATATATATATATATATATATATATATATATATATATATATATATATATATATATAATATTAAAAAAATTAGATATTAGTTTCTCATTAAATAATTTTGTAAGTATTTTGTCTTTCTTTTTCTACTTTGATCAAATTTTTATATTCTTTAACATTTTCTACATGACTTGTTGGTAAGAATAAACTTTTCATCGAAATTGGTAGACTAACTTTTTGTTCGTTTGATGGGTTGAATATAGATACATCGTTGTTCTAGGAGACAAAAAGTAATGGGTAGTAGAAATTAAGATACACAAGAGAATCTGGTCATTAACAAGTCTAGATATGAGTTAAAAGTAAAGGTATAATTGAAATGATTCATATCATTTTAATTTAAATGATTTCCATTTAACATGTAGTTAATTTTATCTTATTAAAATATTTGAATACATTATAAAGATTCAAGTTTCATTAGTATAGACTTCAAGTAAAGTGCACAAAATTAAATAATGAAACTAAAATAATGTACAATTGAGATTATTTAGCAAGTGGAACCATGAACGGTTAAATTATATTGGCGATTACGGTTAAATTATATTTGCGAAAGTTAAAGTTGTCATTAAGCAACGTTCGTAAAACAGCAATATAATGTATAACGTGCGCTTAACAGCTTTAAAACATTAATATTTCAAATCACAAGAGATATTTTAATTAACTAAAGGTAAGCCCTAATCTTTAATAATTATAACGTGTTTACGGAAGTATATTAAATGTGATGAAATGTTGGCTTATTTTTTTAAAATGGTTAGAAAGACAAAGCTAAACTTTTAAAAGAATAAAATAAATAGGTCTATCAAACATTCAAAAGGATAAAAAAAAATGTGTCCATTTTTTATTACATCTTAGTAGAGCGTGTTCCTTTCTTCAATCATAAAGGCAACAAAAGTTATGGTAATTAAAGTCAAATAGAAACGTAGATACATATTTGAGAAATTTATATTTTCTTTAGTAACTTTATTTATATTTTAAAAAACCTTAAAAAAATTAACTCAACAAATGTCGATATCAAATAAAGTAACTCATTCTTTGTCTAGATTAAAAGGTTCCTTTAATTCAAGTTCACCACTATCGGCAATAATAACATCACTTTTAGGCGTGCTTCCATTCACAGGAGTGTTTTCAATAGCAGTGACAACATCCTAAAATAAGTTGTAATTAAAAATTAGCGATGAAATCAAATTTTAAATGCCGTACTAAAAATCATTTTTATATTAGATTATTATTTTTAATTACCATTCCCTCTAAAACTTTTCCAAATACAACGTGTTTTCCATCGAGCCAAGATGTCTTGACGGTGCAAATGAAAAATTGAGAACCATTAGTATCTTTACCAGCGTTTGCCATTGACAAATAACCAGGACCAGCGTGTTTCAATTTAAAGTTTTCATCTTTAAATTTCATACCATAGATACTCTTTCCTAAATTTTTTGCGTTTAAAATTATTTACGTCTTCTATAAGTTTTTATTACTTTAAAAAGTAGTTTATAAACTTAAAATTTAATATTTTTTTTAAGGGGGCGTCCGTAAAGTACGTACGCAGTAAAACCATTGATTTAGGAGCCTCTCCTCCCCCTAGTACGCACCTGATGGTTTAACGACTTCCCTTTCCTGCGTACTACGCACTATTTATTACAAAACTAACCACCCCCACCACACTTCCCCAACACATTTATTTTACCAAACACTAAAAACAAAATACTTCTAGATAAATCGACATTTTCATGTTAACATAACATAATACTGATTTTTTAAACTCGTATAAATCAAAATTTAAAGTGCTGAGACAATTTGTGTTTATATCTTAGAAAATAAGTTTAGAACTAATTATACTTACCAAAACAAATTGAGATATTAAAAAAAGAAACTTTCATTTTTAACGCCATATTGTTTTTCAGGAATGAAAATTTCAGTTTGCTGACATTTGATCAATATGACCAGATTTCGCTTGAAAGAAAAAAAAATTTAGTGGAACCGTAAGCCAAAACTAGGTTTCGAAACGGAAATAAGACGGCGAAGTTACAAAAAAGCTGGAAAGTTTTTTGTTAATATCTCCAGAACTAATTTGTTTTGGAAAGTTTAATCAACTCTAAGGTTATTTTCCAAGGTTTATTTAAGATATGAACACAACTTGCCTTGACACTTTGGGATCCCTTGCTATTTTACACGTACTTCCTCCCTTAGTTTTTATTTATAATCAACATCATTTTGAAAGTTACACATTTTTTATTTAATACACTCCTATAATGTCTCTATTCTTTATACTCATACTATATAAAATTAATTACAAAAAACTTTAAAATAATAAACTAAAACTATACTAAACTTATCTGTAAAGTAGAACAAAAAAAAAAAGTATTTTAAAATTTAGAGTTCTTGAGGTTTCTCTGGTAGGTTTTTTTTTATATTAGTAATTTTTCTTACATATATTTTAGTAATTTTTCTTTTATATATTTTCCCAATAAAACTCAAAACTCAAATTCATAATTAACTAGATCAAAGTAATGATTTTTAAAAAAATTTATGATTTTATTTAAAGTAATTTTGTCAATTAAAATAGTTTTTTTTATAAACAACTTTTTTTTTTTAAAAATGTGAATGTTTATATATCCATGTTAGGGAGGAAACATATATATCGGGGAAAACATATATATCGAGGAAACATATATATTAGGGAGGAAACATATATATTAGGGAGGAAACATATATATAGAATGTTTATATATCCATGTTAGGGAGGAAATTTTCATCCTAACACGAATATATAAGTATTGACTAATGTCTAGCAATATTAATAATAAAGCTATTCGATCATTGCTGATCAGATGCTGAACTGCCCAGGATATTTGTTTGCATTAAACTTAACCTATATGCAATTGATATATAGGATGATACACGATGATATATCACATATATAGTATGCATACCTCAAAAAAATAACCAGAAGGAAATTTGTGCAAGTAATGTATAAACACTTCAACTAAAGAATTAGAATAACCATGAAATTCATTCAGTGTTGTTTAGCAAAAGATTTAATTTCTTAATGTACTATTACTCTGCTGGTTGAAAACAATTATAGTTTTTTATTTTGAACAAAAATAGAACTTATATTATTAACAACAGTAAATTTTCTGATACTTATTTGAACTTTTTTTTTTAGAAATCAAACATACTTTAAATCTAGGACGTTTCCTAGAAAACGCAGAAAAATCCTATAAAAATTGTTTGCACTGAATCCAAAAACTTTACGCCCACTGAATAGATAAAGTAATAGTGAATCTACCGAACAGGTTTATATCTACTGAATAGACTGAATCTAAGGTAGTTTTAAATAATAGATAAGCATAAATTTTTGATCGCAAAATAAATTTAATTTCCTAAACTTTTTGATTTTGTAGAAACATTAAAATTTTAAATAAACGTATTTAAAAATAAAACCATTTAGTAATTTTCTTTGTTCTGGACAAAATATGAAATAAATACTTTTTAAAGTTCACTTATCATTCCAAAATATTAGGAGCAAAATATTTTATAGGAAGCCATTGAGTTTCTTATTGCAATCAAATCACAATCCCTTAAAATTGTTTAATCAATAGAAGATTAACAAGGTTTTGAGGGCAATTAATTAAATCCCAATTACAAATTTTGTATTTTACTTAAATCTTAAGCTTTTAAACTGTTAAACTTTGATACAGAATATATATATATATATATATATATATATATATATATATATATATATATATATATATATATATATATATATATATATATAAACTTTTTTCTACTTATTTTAAATAAGTTACACTTTACCTAATAGAGTTCAAATTGGAGAAAAAACTTAGATAAGATTTCAACAGAAGAAAATGAAAAATGTAATGTATTTAATAAGAAAACTGTAGCTATAGATGTCTTTAGATGCTGGAGCAACGCACATAACAAACCAATAGTTTGTCTCTGCAGAACTTGAAATAGCCACCATACCATTAAAAAAAACCTATGGTATTTGATTTTTTTTTTTTTTTTTTTTTGTTGAAAAAAAAAACATTTTCTTCCAATCCCAACCCACAGAATTAGGAAAAATGAGCTCAAACTGTTAGAGGTTGTAATCCTGCTAACTAAGACATTGAACTGCTTTCAATTGCCTAATATTTTACAAGAACCTTTTTTAATATCAAACTTTTTATTCAATAAAGTTCAAAAACTACATTTAAAAAAACGCGATTTAAATTTTTAGGACTGACTGAAAATAAAACAAAAATTCATTTAAAAAAGTTTTAAAGAACAATAAAAATGCATGATTTGCTTAAAACGTCATAATTTAGATTTTTTGATTTTTATACTTCTATGGAGCTACCGACTTTTAATAATAGGAGAAGTTTCCTCTACATCAAAACACTGTTAAAGCTTAAACTGCTCAAATTTATCAAATTTTTAACCATTTATAAAATATTCAAACATTCTAATGTAAAATCTTTACATAACTTTAGTATTTGCTAACATTTATGGGTGGGTAAATTAGTTGTGAATTAAATTCATTTTAAGATTTTTAAAAACATAGAAACAATAGCTTTTCTGAATCAAGGAATAAATCAAAACTACTATTCATAATTTTAAATATAACTGATCAGAAATCATGACCAAATTACCAATAATCACAGGAAATACCAGTAAGTAATAGAACAAATAATTTAAAATCATGACCAAATTAGTAAACAAATTATGTAAGTAGTAGATGGAATTTATATAAGAATTTATGCAAGTTAAGAGAAATGCACAGGTTTTGTGTAGTTTTTTTTATATGTACAATAAACTTTTTTTTACTAAATATTAAAAAAAGTGAAATATTGACAGAGGAAAGGAGTGGAGTATTGACAAAGGAAAGAAGTGGAATATTGAAAGAGGATATAAGTGAGACATTGACAAAAAGGTGAAAAAAGCTTAAAATTAGAATTAGAAAAAAATAGTAGAGGAAAAAATGAAAGAAAGAAAAAAGAGAGGAAAAGAAAGACTTAAAAGTTGCTGACATAATCGACATGGTCTTATTAAAGGTTTTATAATAATAAACTAAATAAAGTAAAGTAAAACTCATTTTTGTAAAATTTTATAATGGTTAAGTTAAATGACTAACCTCCTGTTCCATCACCATTAGTGAAATCTCCTCCTAGCAAAAATATTAAAAATAACTATAAAATATTTTATCATAAAAGCACATCAAAACATTTATAAAAAGTTTTATAAAAAAAAAAATTATACCTTGAATCATAAATTCTTTAATAACTCTATGAAACTTGCTGCCTTTATAACCTTCTCCTTTCTGAACAAAAATAACTTTAATTTATCACTGTTATTAATTTACTTATAATTTTATAATTTTTACTTTTTGGGTTTTTAATTAAACTTTAATTTTGTTAACTCAATAAATAGATCAAAATTTAATTGTTTTTATAAACTTAATTACTCATACTGGTTTTTTTGATAACTCAACAAAATTCGTAACAGTTTTAGGGACAGTTTTTCCAAATAATCCTATTACAATTCTACCAAGTTTCTTGCCACCAACTTCTATGTCGAAAAAAACCTAAAAAATAAAATAAAGTTGATGTTAGAATAAATTAACTAAATTAAGTTTTTAATAAACTGTTTTTTATTAATTGATGCATTTATTTTCACTTAACGGTAAATAATCTTTTACTGACCTAAATAACAAAAACTGATATAATAAAAGAATAAAAGAATACATAACAATGTAAAATAGAAACTTAGCATAATTGCCTTTTTTTTGTCTTTTTGTTATATTTAGGACATATGAAGAGTCCCATTATTAGACAATAAAAGCCAAAATACTTTTACAAAAAGTTAGTTGAATCATTAAAAAAATTGTTATTTTATTAACTTTTCTTTTTAAATCATTTTAATGAAAATAAACATAAAGAAAACTTTATTAAGTAACTTTATTATATTTTTTGTGGCAAAACTAAAGGGCAGAAAATTTGACTTGATAATTCAAACACATTTTGTCAGCTATATTTTTCAAGATAAGTGTTTAAGATTTTATGATGAGTAACTCATCATAATCATTTGAAAAAGTAAAAAAAAAAAAGCATTTAAATAAAGTTTTAGACTAGCTACAATTTTGAACGAATTAAGGAAAGTTTATTTTTAAATGAAACCCAAATTTATGTGGATCATACTTTTATTTTATTTTTAAACTTATTCATTTGAATCTAAGAAAACAGTGCCCAACAATGAACTAATGCAATAGCAGAAATCTTTTAAATTTTTTGTAAATATTTTCACTCTTTAAATTCGAAATGTTTGTTAGTAATTTTTCTAAGTATCAATTGATAGTTATCAGTCAGACAGGGGCGTCTACTACTGTTTACTCAAGAGGTAGCAGCTTCATAAAAATCAAAATAGGAGGGGAGGGGGGGAATCGAAATTTTACTCAAAACTCAGGTTAAGGGGGGAAATAAGTATGCAATTGGTTTAAACGCTACATAAAAAAAAAGTTCACTTGAATCAAACAATTCAATCATAAAAAAAATAAATGTCTGTCAAATGTTGAAAATAAATCATAAAAAATTGAATATCAAATTGCCAAAACTATACATTTAATTGTTAAAAAAATAGCTATGTGCAAGTTTAGAATGTTTTTAAATGTTTTTATGCACGTTTTATGAGCTAGATATTCAAATCTTTTGTTAAGCTTAGTAAAATAATTTGATAAAATTGCAAATCATTTTTATGCACTTGCACTTTATATTTATTATAATTATTTGTTTTCAGTAACCGCAAGAATATTTACGAATGTTTATTATTCAACTTGTTATATAGAAGTACAAACTTACAAATATAAATTGTTTTTATTTTTTTTAACTATTCAAAATAAAAATATGGAAAAAATTTAGGAAGCAATGTTCTGGTTATATATCCCAGGAAAAAAAGAAAGGGAAGCAAATTATAAATATTTGTAACATGTTATTCATTATTTTCAAGTGCATTTTTTGTTCTAAATTAGGTTTTTTATTTATTTTGTTCTGCTTCTAATTAATTTATTTGAAATACAAAACTCTGAAAACTCTTTATCATGATCTGTCATGCATATCAACGTTCCTTGGTAGAGATCAGAGTTCAGCAACTTGCAGCTCACGAGCCTCTTTCATCTAAACTGTGTGACTCTCTAGGCTGTCCTAATTATATGTTATAATCCAGAAATGTCATTAAAACACATTAAACTATTATCCTTTTGACTCTTTAGAAGATTTTCAAAATTATATCAGGAAAAATCAGTCTCTTCTTAATATAAGTTGGCAAACCCTGGTATAGGCCACAATTACCATTAATGCTTGTTATTTAATTATTAAAATAGCGTTACAATAAATAAAAATGTTTTCTCAAAAAAGGTTTTTTTGATTTCTTTTCCTTCTAACTCTCGTAATTTTTTTAAAAAACAAAAATTTTAGTTAATTTTTATCGTGGGAATTTTTATTACAGGAGGGGAAGAAATATTTTATCCCACCAGAATGTTTATTCGAAAATATACAAAATCGTTAAAAAGAGTTTCTGATACAACCCAAAAGTGGAGATCAGTAGAAGACAACATTAAAACCATGCTTTGCATTATGAGTGCATTGTAGATGCTTTGGAATTTTTGTCAACAAATAGTCATGACTCAGAGACAATAAATTCAGCAAATAGGCTGCTATGTAAAGTTAACGATATAAGCTGTATAATGTGTAAGCTGTAAACTGGGCCAGTTTCTCATATTTTGCAGGCCAAGTAGATCTCTTAATTAATATTTGTATAAAAAAACTGACAAATATGAGAAACAATATTGATGATCCCTACTGTGACATTAAAAAATCCGCAACAGAATTTAGTATCTTCCACAATATTGACAACAACCAAAAAGAAACAGAAAGACAAAACTTATGTCAGGGAAGACGGCTGCTGATGAACGTATTCTGAACATATCAATGATCCTGAACAAGCATTTAAAGTGGGGGTTGTAATTTGTGGATTGGATGTGATTTTGCAAGAGAATAAAGAAAGATTCAGTGATAGCGATACTTCTTTTTTAGAAGAATTGCATTATTTCACAAATAAAAGTTTGTTATCATCTGAAATAAACATAAGTGATATTTAAGAATATTTAAGAATATTGGTCACGGTATCAGCTTATCTTTAGGGGGGGGGCACCTCTAGACCCTGCCCTCCTATTCCCCTACAATCTATTATATATTATTGTCAAACTTAATAGTAGTGCGCTTTCGAGACTGTTTGACACGGTACCCTTGGCAGCAGTTGCGACCGAGGTGGTGGCGAGAAAGAGTTGCAGCAGCTTTGTTTTATAAGAAAACGTGAACGAACGCGTATCCAAATATCTAACATACGTAAACTTTAAATTAAATAATGTTAACATTTATCAAGTTTTACAGTTGGATTTTCACTTGAAAATTGCATTGCCTCAAGCCCTCCTTAATTTGATCTATAACATTTTTTCCTTAAAAAAATCATTACATTCTTTTAAAAATATTCGCTTGAGTATGTGCCAGTGTGACCGAGTGGATAAAGCAGAACAAGTAAGCCGAGGTTCAATTTCTACAGTTGGTGGCTTTTTTTTAATTTTTATCGATTATTTTAAAATACAAAATAATTTTTTAAAGATTATAAACATACATATGTAACATAACGATTTACACTTTCACAAAAGAAAAGATTTTAAGAAAGCTAAAATTTTATAAAACATCAACAACAACAACAACAAAACATCACCGGGTGAAAAAATTTGTTGCGTATGTATGATGATTGAGACTTATGTTATTAATGTGCTCAGGTAATTAGTCCTAATAAGCTGGGGATGGTCTGAAAAAAAGTTTTCCGAAACCTAATGAAGAAAAAGCTATATTAAATAAATAAGAAAGTCCTGCTACTCGAGAAGGTGTTGCTGTGGAGGCAAACAAAACAAAAAAAAGCCTGTAGCTAGAAAAAAAAAATTTTTTTTCTAGCTACAGGCTTTCTTTTGACAATGAAAAGCTTTTTTTGCTACATATATTTTCTTACTATAAATATATACTGCAGCTGTTTTTCAAAACGCCTTTATATGCTTATTACGTATTTTAAGAAAAACGCAATTAAAAAAAATTATTAAAAATTAACTCTTTGTTAAACGTTTTTTAAAACAAATAATTTTAATGAATTTTTTCAGAACTCTTTGAAAATATGTTTTCAATAACGTTTGTAGACATATAAACTAGCTTATTTTGTAAAAAAGTTAAAAATGATATTTTTAACCTTAAAGCGTTTTGAAAAACGGCTGCAGTATGGATGATACAACAAATATGTTAAAATAAGATAATTTGACGCAAAATTTAAAAGCTCTTAACAAAAGCCATTTTATAAAAATGTAAAGTGATTTTTTACATTTTTATAAAATGTAAAAAATCCACTTATATAACGTTTTATTCAGGATCGTATTTAATATAAGTAAACTTTTCTAATAATTACGAGTCTTTTTTGCTCAAACTGTTTTGTTTTGATTTTTTGTAGTCATGTTATTATATTTAAAAAAATTGGCAACAATAAAAAAACGCAAAACATATTGCCACTTCCGAGTGGAAAATTTGAAACTTTAACTTTAGATTTGCTCCTCTCTCGATAATTTCTGATTTCTAAAGTTATGTCATCTGCTTCTTAGACCTTTAAAAATGATAGTCATAGAAATAAGATTTTATCTCAATTTTTTATAAAAACTCTATCTATTAAAGATATATGGAATACATTTTTATGGGATATATTCTAATAATAACAAATGGGGCCATCCATAAAGGATGTCATCCAAATAGGGAGGGGGGAGGGGTTCGAGATAAAAAGGACAAAAAAGAACAAGGGAAGGGGGGTAGTTAGCCAGAAAAGGACGTCACTTTATAGATTTTTTATTTTAGTTTAATTAACATGAAAAACTATGTAAATCAGCCTTGGTCGGGAAGCGGGAGCGATCGTTCTCGATTGCTGACCACGTAAATAATATTTAGTTGCGAAAAGCTGGCCAGATTTTTTAGTTGTTTTGAGAACCTTTTAAAAAGCAAAAAAAAAAAAGCGCAAAAGATTAATTGGACCAATGAGAGACAATAACAAAAAAAAAAAAAAAAATTAGGCAAATAAAATATCATTAAACGCGAAAAATATTAAAGTTAAATAAATTATGTTTAGAACAAATATTTTTGAAACATCGCTCTTTTATAAATTTTTTTATAAAATTAAGCAATGTTTTTTATATAAAGTAACAACTTACGATTGTTTACAAATGCTCTTTATTTAGCAAAGTTTGCAAGTTTTAATTTTAAGCTAAATTATTTTATAAATAAAAAAGTTAATTTTTTTAATACCTATTTTATGTTTCGCTTAGTTTGAAAAGTTTAACATATTTGAAGCAATTCTTCTTAGTAAGATAAACAAATGAAATAATTAAATCATTGAATTACTATAGAAATTAAATTAAATATTAAAAATACTTTATGACGAGGAAGCGAAACTGCTTTACAATATTGCTAATGATGTTTACTGAGTGGGCTTTTT